ATTAAAGAGGGCACGTACTGCATGGAGCACTGGGTGTTATATGCAAACAATGAATCATGGAGCACTACATCAAAAACTATTGATGTAATGTATGGTGCCTAACATAACATAATAATAAAAAAAAAGAATTAAGCCCACTAAAAGTTAGGGACCTCCACTCCAACCATCTTTCAAGTAACAGGTGCTTGCTACCCTGTTCTCTATCTCCTGTTCACTAGTGACCTGGGAAGGAGGACTGCCTTCCTCTGGCTTACTGCTCCCCACCCCAGATTCCGGAATCTGTATGTAATAAATCCTATGACTTTACTTCCCCTGTGTGAGTGTACTGAAACTGCACCTTCAATCAAAAGAACCATGGGTTTCACTTCCCCAAAGTGGGAGCTTGGATGCTGACAGAGCCACCTGCCGAGCCCATGTAGCTGGCTTATGTTCCCCAGTGCAGCAGGTCAAAACCTGCATATTTCTAAATTCAATACACCAGTACTACATATAAATGTACGCTGACATCCACATTATGTTCTTTATGGCTCAAAGGCAAAGATGCTAAAAGAACAAAACACCATAAGGAAACTGAGGTCACAGACTTACCTCATCGTGAATCAGCTCCAGTGGTTCTATCATATATACAAAGGTATTATCTTCAAACATACCACTACGAGACAAGAAACCACACCAGGAGGAAATTAACAAATACAGCAAACAGCAAGAACCAGCAAATGAGCTTCACACTTCATCTTTAAAAATGAACAGTGTATCTGAACAAGTATCTTTATACTGCCCCAAATCTAATTCATATATCTGTATGGAATCCCACTGTGGTCTCAGCACTGTATTAGACAGAGATAAGCTACAAAAGGTGTTAAAGTGTATACCACGAGCATATAAATTATAAATGTTATAATTAATTTTTGAAACAAAATGAAAACATTAGAAGATGAATCTGGAACAGGACTATTCATACAGTTCCAGTATGTCACGTTATAATTCCAAGACAATGTCCAACTAGTACAAATTTCTTCTTACACAAATCCAGTATCACCTATAAGAAAATAGGTATTTTGCTCGTTAGAATAATCTAAAACCATCTGATTCTGAAAAGGCAAACAGAAGCGTATTTATGGCTGCCAATTGTGAATTTCCATTAAGCAGTATGACTCTGTGTTGCATATAATTTTGAGATATATAGGAAGATAAGATTTTCAATATCCTTTTTCATCACATGGCCACAACCAGATCTTTACATGGAGGGTTACTATTTGGGTCTAAAAGGTGCTTAGAGAGGTTTTTCTAGAGCCTGCCTTGAAGCCAATGTATGAGCTCCTCTCTTTGCACGCCCCCTCCCATCCTCCTGTGGCCAATACCACCTGACTGCTATGTCCTCTGGCATATACCTTTGGGAAACCTTTCTAGACTAGGTTTGGTCACCCTGTAAGTCCCTGATCCTCCCCTTCACAGTTCCTACCAAAATGGCAATTCAATATTAATCTCTGTAATCACTTGTTTAATCTCTGAATCACCTGCAGACTCTAAATGTTAAGACAGTGGAGACTATGCCCTCGTTCATGACTCCATATCCAGTCCCTAACATGAGACTGGCACAGCAGAGTCCCTACAACAAACATTTGGGAAAGAAAAGATGGAAACAGTGCACGGCTGAAAGCAAGTTCACTCTCCCACATGAGACTCGCACATACTGAAGTCCATTGCAGGTCGACAGAGCTGCCCTGGAGTCCTTGACACCTCGGATGCTGCCGTGGTAGTAACAGTGCTCTCCACCCTACAACACAGAGGAAGGTTTCATTGATGAATGATGCTTTCTGGATCATCATTCACTCTTACAGATGTTCCTATAAGCCAGAAAGAATTGCAAAGAGGGTCCTATAAACTCCTCCTGGTTGATATGAAATCTCAAAGGGCACGAGGCCATTTTTCCGCTTTCTATAAAGATGCTATGTTATTAATAAAGGAGAAAAAAGCTATTAACGGGAATTAGACGCCAATGTAACTGATACAACTTACATACCTTTCTTAAACATGTAAGGGAGTAGCTGCTTACCAGATATTGCTATGGCATAAGGTCTTCTACCAAACTGAGGAGACCCCAGAGCTCTTGTTGTTAATAACTGTGTTTGATAGGGGCACCTGGGTGGCTCAGTCGGTTAAGTGTCTGCTTTTGGCTCAGGTCATGATCCCAGTGTCCTGGGATCCAGCCCTGGTTTGGGCTCCCTGCTGAGCAGAGAGCCTGCTTCTCCCTCTCTTCCCCCCACTCATGCTCTCTCTTGTTATCTCTCTCACATTAATAAAATCTTTAAAAAAAATAATTGTGTTCGATAGGAAACTACATAAAATCTTATTATTTGCTTCCCTACCTTTTAAAATTCATTTTAAAAATTTCTTAGAAGTATTATATGAACTTAATTTTCAAAGTCAAGTAGTAACTATAAGGCCTATTTTAAAAACACAGGGGTGCCCGTGTGGCTCGGTCTGCTAAGCGTCCTACTCTTATTTTCTGCTCAGGTCATGATCTCAGGGTCGTGAGATCCCCGTGATGGGCTCCGCACTCAGCCGGGAGTCTGCTCGAGGATTCTCTCCCTCTCCCTCTGCCCCTCTCCCTGCTCACGCACCAGTGAACACGCTCTCTCTCTCTCTCCTCACCTCCATGACAATCATTTTTAACTCTTTTATCTGTTTCTTTTGCTGTTTACCTATGTATTTCTGAATGGAATATTTATACTGCTACATCCTGGCTACACATACTAGGTAATTTGTCACATGTATTTTATTCTGGGAGACAGCCCTATTGTCCCCCTTTGGCCTCCCACTGGGCCTGACACAGAGCCACCAGCCAGGAGTTCTGTTTAGGGTCATCCTGGGAACTCTTCTGCCTCCCTTCTACACAGAATCCTAGACCCCATATCTTCTCCATTCATGATCTCATCTTCCCCTTTTTTGAAGGTACACATCTTCTGGTACTTTCTTGAAAAAGTGACCATGGAAGATGAATTTGGTGAGAACTTGCATATATAAAAACTTCTTTTTCTATCTTCACACTAGATCAACCACTTGGGTGGGTAGAGAATTCTAGATTAGAAATTATTTTCTCTCGGCATTTCAACACCATTGTGTACAGCTTCTAACGTTGCTGCTGAGAAACGGCTGCTATTCTGATGTTAGATATTTTCTATAAAATATAATTTTTCTCTTTCAAGAAGACTTTAGGGAATTTTATTCATCCCCATTTTCATGAAATCTCAAGACATGCCTTGGCTTATTCACTGTGCTGGGCACTCGGTCAAAACTTTTAATTAAGAAAATGCACACACTTCAGTTCTAGGAAACTTTTATTATTTCTCTGATAATTCCCTCCTTTCCATTTTTCTCTATAAATGGAGCTCTTCTACCAGAGTAGAGAAGGTACGGCTGCCTGGCTATATGGGGTATGAAGTGCATCAGGGATGTAAGAGCCCTCCACGTAGACTTTGAACCAACCTCTCTGCTTTCATGTACCCTCAAGTCCTGGATCTTCAATCGGCTTGCTTCTTGGGTTTCCCTAATGGAACTTAGCAGAACAGGAAAAGCTCAAACCTGACAGATACCCCTATCCGTTTGCTTTCTATCTCCTAAAATTTTATGAATACCTCTCATCTGCAGTCTTTTCTTCTCCTGTCTTTGTCCTTGTGGGTGTATATCCTTCTTTATTCTTTGACTAGTATTTGACTAGGTTATTGGGAGGGAATAGAGATAAATATAAGCATTGAATCCACACTGTTTAACCAGAAGCTTCCTATTTGTTTTCTTAAATAGAATATACTGAACATACTTAGACTTTTCATTGATGATTTCCAGTCATTTTGATCGCTGCTCATTATACTGTATTACCATAGCCTCAGAGGTTATTTACAGCGATAAGGGTGTCTACCCATATATCAAAGACCACTCCCCAACCAATTCAGTTTGTTTCCTCTTAGAAACTATAATACACATTTCCAGTGCTGGTTGTCTAAATTTGGTATTATAACCTTGTTAATATTTTGTAAAAGGTTGCTTTTGTATGGGGTTTGGTTCTCAAAAGGCAATTTTTTACAAAAATATTGACTTGTATGCAACAAGAGAAGGTTTATTTGTATATTCAACCCTAGAACTTATAAGGACAAATGGTATCATGCATCTCAGCAATTTGTGAATCCAGGTCAATATTCTGCAATTAAATTTCAGACTCTTCACATGGTTCTAAAAACAACCACAGGTAACTGTAAATTCCATCGAACTGGTTATTTAGCACTTTGTATCACACCAAGAAGTTCTCTTAAGTCAGGTGATTATTAGTGCACAGCAAACATGGTCATATTTACTTGACCTTTCTAAAAAAAGCTATATTTTCCAGATTTTTTTCCCAGAAAATACTTCCAAGTCCTTTCTTAGATTTCACTTTAATTCCCATTAGAAACTGATGATTGATGCTCTCTCAGTATAAAGGTCATTGTTAGTTGTTTTAATTAAGGTAGGATATTATCTGAAGGAACTGTTTCAATTTCCTGTATATTTGAAGGTAAATCACCATATTTTCTGAACCTGAAATAAGACTTGAGGTAACATGCAATCCCTGACATCTATTATCATAACAAAGCTTGAATATCTAGATAATGTGGTCATATTAAGCACTATGAGGAATTCCGCAGGCTCTGATTTAGTATTAGTATCTGGTAGTATTAGAGGATTTTCTGAGTTTCTTATTACTAAATTTATAACGAGTTTTTAAGAAAGCATTACCATAAAAATACTATTTGGCAACTCTCCAGGTGTACGCAGCATTTTATAAATACCACTGCAAAGTAAGCTCTTGAAGTACTTCATATTCAAAAAATCCTAGTTGAAAAGAGGCATTCCCTCTTGGGTAACAGGGATAACAGGAGCGAACCAGTGCAGAGAGGCCCCTCCCAGAGGGCGTTGTGAGTGGTGACACTGGAGGGTCAGCTCTGGGGGTACCTTCCACCCAAGGATCTAACCATCTTGAACACTCATTCGCTGTCTCATAGTAACTACTACCTCCTTGTACAGAGAAGGAGACAATGACAAGGTGTGAAAAGGCTCTGTGAATGATAGCAGAAAGCCAAACTGAATGACACGTTTTCAGGCTCTCCAGTTAGTGTTTCTTTCTCAGACAGTTTGAGAGCCCTGGCCAGCCACATCGCGATCAGTACTGAGGAGCGCATCACAGATCTGTGACTAGGCAATTGGCAGGCAGGAGAACAAAAGGGGCTCATTCAGCACATGACAGGAGTCTGTGTGTGTCCACACAGGTGTCAGCATTTTTGGATTCGAAACTGTCAGTGAGTTATTTAAATGCAACAAAATAGAGCATCCGATAAGTGGAAGTTTTTGGCTAATCAAAAAATCCTAGTAAGTATGCTCCCCAACCTACCACTTCCTCACATCCGAACACTCCACAAGCCAGATGATGCTCAAATAATGGCAACTCTGCTCCACAAGGTTGTGGAGCTCAGAACCCCGCTGGAAACCACCAGGCCACTCCTGCAAATAATGGGACCCTGACTGAATGTGCATCTTTGAAAACACTTCCTAATCAGAAGTGGCTTGGGATAACAGCTCTGTGAGTCCAGTGCTAATGACCTAAAGAGGAAAACAGATTTGGTTCCCTGGTATTATCGATTGAATGACAGAAACACTTTGATTCTTTCCACTCACTTTAAATACATCCTATTGGAAAACAGAATCTCCTGTTTCAATATGATTTATTTTACAACTGCCCCACCTTTGTGTCTGTTTAATTACCTCGTTTTCTCTTCAGTAAAGTTCAACCAGTCAGTTCTTACTTTCTTCATCATTTAAGAAACCCTCATAAACTCTTGGGGAGCTGGGTGGCACAGTCGGTTAAGCATCCGACTCTTGGTTTCTGCTCAGGTCATGATCTCAGAGTTGTGAGATCAAGTTCTGCATTGGGCTCCATGTTCAGCACGGAGTCTGCTTAAGACACTCTCTCTCTCCCCTCAACACCCAAAGAACAAATAATCCAATCAAGAAATGGGCAGAAGACATGAACAGACATTTTTCCAAAGAAGACATCCAAATGGCCAACAGACACA